GCAAAGTATATTCCAATCGCACTAATACTTTCGGAGATAGGCGCGAAACAAAACAATGCCTTATTTAGGAAAGTACAGCATGGCCCCCAATTACGTGACAAATTTGGAAAACTAATAATTTCGGTGCTGCCTTTTAATATTCTGGGTATAGGTAGAACTCTTTAAGAGAAATTCAGTGGTGCAGACCAAACTCGAATCGGACGAACAGTTTCCGAGAAAAACGAGAAACAAGATTAAGTGTCAAATAATCAGGTTCACAATAACCCCCCCCCATTACGTGACAAATTTTAAAAAAATATGAATTTTAGCGCTGCCTTCTAATAATCTGGGTATAGGTACAACGCATTAAGAGACATTCAATAGGGGAAACAAAACTTTAATCAAACGAATAGTTTCCGAGATAGACGTGAAACAAGATTTGGCCTCAAATGATCAGATTCACAATATCACCCCAATACGTGGGTATAAGAAGAACTCTTTATAAGAAATTCAATAGTGCAAACCAAACTTCAATCAAAAAAATACTTTCCGAGATAGACGTGAAAATATATTCAAATTATCAGGTTCACAATACCCCCCCATCACGTGACAAATTTCGAAAAATATTAGTTTCGGCGCTACCTTTTAATATTCTTAGTATAGGTTGAACACTTTAAGAAAAATTCAGTGGTGCAAACCAAACTCGAATCATAGAACAATTTCCGAGATAAACGACAAACAAGATTAAGCCTCAAGTGATCAGGTTCACAATATCCAACATTGGGTGACAAATTTGGAAAAATATTAATTTCGGCGCTGCCTTTTAATATTCTGGGTATAGGTAGAACACTTTAAGAGAAATTCAGTGGTGCAAACAAACCCGAATCAGACAAACAGTTTCCAAGATAAACGAAAAATAAGATTCGGCCTCAAATTATCAGGTTCACATGACCCCCCCATTACGTGACAAATTCGGAAAAATATTAATTTCGGCGCAGCCATATAATATTCTGGGTGTAGATGGAACACTTAATGGAAATTCAGTGGTGCAAACCAAACTCGAATCGGACGAACAGTTTTCGAGATAAAGGACAAACAAAATTCAGCCTCAAATTATCAGGTTCACAATACCACCCCATTACGTGAAAAATTGGAAAAATAATAATTTCGGCGCTGCCTTTTAATATTCCGGGTATAGGTAGAACACTGTAAGAGAAATTCAGTGGTGCAAACCAAACTCGAATCGGACGAACAGTTTCCGGTATAAACGAGAAACAAGATTCGGCCTCAAAGTATCAGGTTTACAATACCCCCCCATTACGTGACAAATTTGGAAGAACATTAATTTCGGCGCTGCCTCATAATATTCTGGGTATAGGTAGAACACTTTAATAGAAACTCAGTGCTGCAAACCAAAATCGAATCGGACGAATAGTTTCCGAGATAAACGAGAAAAAAAGATTCGGCCTCAAATTATCAGGTTAACAATACCCCCCATAACGTGACAAATTTGGATAAATATTATTTTTAGCGCTGCTTTTTAATATCCTGGGTATAGGTAGAACGCTTTAAGAGAAATTCAGTGGTGCAAACCAAAAACGAATCGGACTATAATTTACGAGATAAACGAGACACAATATTAAGCTTCAAGTGATCAGATTCACAATACACCCCCATTACGTGACAAATTTGGAAAAATATAGATTTCGGCGCTGTCATTTAATATTCTGGGTATAGTTAGAACACTTTAAGAGAAATTCAGTGGTGCAAACCAAACTCGAATCGGACGAACAGTTTCCGAGACAAACGAGAAACAAGAATTGGCCTCAAATTACCAGGTTCACAATACCCCCACATTACGTGATCAATTTGGATAAATATTATATTCGGCGCTGCCTTTTAATATTCTGGGTATAGGTAAAACACTTTAAGAGAAATTCAGTGGTGCAAACCAAATTCGAATCGGACTACAATTTCCGAGATAAACGAGAAACAAGATTCGGCTTCAAATTATCAGGTTCACAATACCCTTCCACTAAGTGACAAACGTCGAAAAATATTAATTTCGCCATTGCCTTTTAATATTCTTGGTATAGGTAGAACACTTTAGGAGAAATTCAGTGGTGCCAGAAAAACTCGAATCGGACGAACAGTTTCCGAGATAAACGAGAAACAAGATTAAGCCTCAAGTGATCAGGTACACAATACGTGACACCATTACGTGACAAATTTAAAAAGATATTATTTTCGGCGCTATCTTTTAATATTCTGGGTATAGGTAGAACACTTTAAGATAATTTTAGTGGTGCAAACCAAACTCGAATTAAACGAACAGTTTCCGAGGAAAACGATAAACAAGATTTGGCCTCAAATTATCAGGTTCACAATACCCCCCATAACGTGACAAATTCGGATAAATATTATTTTTGGCGCTGCCTTTTAATATCCTGGGTATAGGTAGAACACGTTATGAGAAATTCAGTGGTGCAAACCAATCTCGAATCGGACGAACAATTTCCGAGATAAACGAGAAACAAGATTCGGCCTCAAATTATCAGGTTCACAATACCACCCCATTACGTGACAAATTTGGAAAAATAATAATTTCGGCGCTGCCTTTTAATATTCTGGGTATAGGCAGAACACTTTAAGACAAATTCAGTGTTGGAAACAAAACTCGAATCGGACGAACAGTTTCCGAGACAAACGAGAAACAAAATTAGGCCAAAAATTATCAGGTTCACAGTACCACCCCATTACGTGACAAATTTGGAAAAATAATAGTTTCGGCGCTATCTTTTAATATTCTGGGTGTAGGTAGAACACGTTAAGAGAATGTCAGTGGTGCAAACGAAACTCAAATCGGACGAACAGTTTCCGAGATATACGAGAAACAAGATTCGGCCTCAAATTATCAGGTTCACAATACCACCCCATTATGTGACAAATTTGGAAAAATAATAATTTCGGCGCTGCCTTTTAATATTCTGGGTATAGACAGAACACTTTAAGACAAATTCAGTGTTGGAATAAAAACTCGAATCGGACGAATAGTTTCCGAAATAAACGAGAAACAAGATTAAGCCTCAAATGATCAGGTTCACAATACCCCCTTATTACGTGACAAATTTGGAAAAATATTAATTTCGGCGCTGCCTTTTAATATTCTGTGTATAGATAGAACTCTGTATGAGAAATGCCGTGGTGCAAACCAAACACGAATCGGATGAATAGTTTCCGAGATATACGAGAAACAAGATTAAGCCTCAAATGAATAGGTTCATAATACCCCCCCCCCATTACGTGAAAAATTTGAGTAAATCAACCGAGTGTGTGGCTTGCGTGACCCGTAAGTTCCGCCTCCTCCGTCGGGGAAGGCCGCACGACGCCGAGCCTGGCCGTGCCACCGCGCTGACAGAGGGCCCACAAGGGGCGGGTGGGTGACGTAACTGCGCAGAATGGAAGGGGAGGCGAGCTGTTTTCGTAAATTTCACTTTACGACGCTCGTATTCGTCCGATTTGCATGATTGTCACGGCGCTCGATTCAGGAAGCATGTCCTCATCGCGCTGTAAGCCCACCTTTTTTTTAATTTTTCTCGGAAGTTTGAGAACTAATTTCATATTGGCGGTTTTTTGTTAGATTTTTGGAAACAGGTCATCGTAGTGTAAATTATATTTTAAAAATGGCGTCCAATGTCGTTTACAGATCGAAAATAGGACCATTGGTTCAGACGTTATCGGTAAAGTAAATTTTACTTATTTTGGTGCTGCCACGTGGGGGCTACAAATTGTACTAGTGTCGGGACATTTAGCCCTAAGACCACCTGGCCACACCAGCGCGCCCTCGTCCAGGCAAAAGCTAGCGCACGCGACGGCAGCTTATTACGCGATTCTGCGTTTGGTTCCTACGCGTCGCAGCCACCGCATGGCAGTCCCGACACAAGGTGCCCCGCGATCCGCAACAGAACGCGTCTAGTAAGTAAACGCGTTTGAGAGAAGAGGATTTTCGGTCGTCGTTGGGTTAGGGCCTTGCCACGTCGCGACGGCAGCCCGCTGCCATCAAGACCCGCGCTACGCCAAGCGGAGGAGGGGGGACGCGCCACCGCTAGCAGAACACAGCTTTAAGGCTGCTTGCCCACGCCGCGGCAGAAGCGCGCGAACGTCAATCATCAGGGCTCTTCGCCGACGACGGACAAAGGGACCGAAGCGGGTACCTGCTGCGGTCCCTTTGTCCGTCGTCGCCGGAGGGTCGGCGAAGAGCCCTGATGATTGACGTTCGCGCGCTTGTGCCGCGGCGTGGGCAAGTGGCCTAAATGGGAGCCTTTCCACTGCGGCCGCCGGTCGCTGCGTTCTACCTGCTGCGGTCCCTTTGTTCGACGGTGTTGGAGGGTCGGCGAAGAATCCTGCTGATTGACGTACGCGCACTGCCGTGGCGGCGTGGTAAGGCGCCCGGACGCACGGGTGCCGTTAGGCCGCCTTCCCACGGCGCGACCGCGGCGCGCTTCGTTCAAGCAGCAAAGCCCTTCCGACGCAGCCACCGCCGGAGCCACGGCCGCACCGCCGCCCGCCATGGAAGGGGGTGGGGTCTGGAGGGGTAGGTTTCGCCGACCCTCCGGCGACGACGAACAAAGGGACCGGAGCAAGTAGAACGCTGCGGCCGTGAGGCAGTGGGAAAGCCCCCATTTAAAGCTGTGTTCTGCTAGCCGTGGCCCGTGGCCCCTCGTCCGCTTCGCGTAGCTGGAGTTCGGCGTCGGCTGCCGCAGCAGCCGCGACCCGCTGCACGTGGGAAGGCCACCATTCAAACCAATGCTCTGCTACGCGCCGCGCTGCTGCGAAGCGCGCCGTGGGAAGGGGCCCTTATTCCGGAGGTCCGGGACGACTTTGGAGCGCGGGCGGCGGTACCTGCAGTCGTCTGCCTCGTCGTCCTCGTCGCCGTCGCAGGGGCGCATCGCGTGCGAGCCGCGCGCCTCGTCCCACTCTTCCTCGCTCGCCGGAATCCGCGGCTCCAGCTCGTACAGCACCTCCAGCAGCTCCATCTCCAGGCTGGCGCGCGACACTTTGTCTTCTGCACCTGGCAGCGAAGGTCCTTCTGTACTTCTACTATTGACGCAGCAGCGTCCGCTTATACCCAGAAATTCGTCATGAAAACTGGTTACAACGTGTCTCCACATCACTTACACTGTAAATGGCGCGTTGTTCTAGAAAGACTCGGTCCTTATAGAATCTCAAATAAAATGTAAACAAAGTACTAACTGGTGGTGCTACAGAATGGCTCTTTTTGTCTCCAATTACTCAGTTCCATTTCCGTTTGTGTCATTATGAGAGTGTAGTGCATGCGCGCTCGTGTGTGTTTTAGTAATGGGTGAGGATAGGACAAGGAAGAGGAAGCGAGAGAAAGATCGCGCGTGGACCATGGCCCGTTTGTTTGGTTCTATTTATGCACTCGCCTGGTATTCATCAGAGAAACCACAGAACAAAACAGAAACCAGGATGTGCTTAAATGGTCCCCCTGCCTCTTAAACGAGACTCTACGTCAATATTTATTTTTCCGGTCGTCTTCTGGTGTGTTTCGACCCCTCTCCCCCTAACAGGGACAGAGAAACCACGGAAAACTACCGATCAGAGATGCCGCTGGAATTCTCGACCAAACAGCGGCTGAAATCAACCCAGCTCTAGGGACTCAAACCGAAGGACCTCCCGGTTAGAGAAACTGCAGACAGCAATTGAACCTTTGCCGGTATAAGCAACGAAAATCGTTCTACAAAGAAGATGGAAATCTTAATTGTTCCCCATCCAAGGAATGTTCAAAAAGGAATTGAGATGTTTGTTTTTTACAGAACAATAGTGTTCATATGATAACATACTGTTGACTGAGGGAAGTCGAGTGTATTGTCATCTAGAATAATGATCATCGTCATTTTATCATCACAACATCACCAAAAACGATTAAAAAATGCTCATAAAATGATTTTAAAATGTCCTAAAACAACGAGTAATTACGTTAAAAAATGTGATCAAAACCACTTCAGATGAACTACTCTAGCTCTTGGTTAAGTTACTGATGTAATCGAGGCTTCTTCCTATTGTTGAAGTGGACTCAGCTTGCGATCGTTTGGTTTGGACTGTTCTTAAAAAGAAAATCTATGCCTTTATTTGTCGCGAAATTGGCCGAACTGATAATGGCGCCGATAGGTGTCACAAGAACCTTATATTACTAAGTACTAACAAAGGCTGACATAACGAGCAAAGAAATCGAAATGCTTCTCAGAAATTCTGTGATGAACATTTGTTGCACCTTGTAAATATTGTTTGAAGCAAGTACCATTAAAATGATATCAAAATCGATGAAATAAAATGATATCAAAATCAGTAAAAATGCATTAAAAGGTAAAAAATGACTTATTAGTCGAAATTGACGAAAAATGCAAAAAAAAGTCATAAAAATGAGTTATTTTGTCTTGTCTTAACATAAAATGAATTTCTATACTAAACGGCATTGTTGCAAAGTGAAAGAAAAAATGACAATTCATTAAAATCCGCCCCTTACTCATAACTATTTCGGCTGACATGACTGTGTTGATACTTGCCTCCAATTTCGCTGTACATTTAGAACTTCCGACTTCTCTTAAGGAAATCTTGCAATTGCAATTCTACCATGGGAATAAAAACGACATCACTTGTGAATACGCTTGACAATATTTGTATGTAAGTTTCATATCAAAGTAATATATAATACAGTTAAGGGATAATTGAACTTTTTAGATATTTATTAAGTAATATAGGGATGCATTATTTCTACTGTCTATGTTCTGTGATTCACACCTAACCAAGTAGGGAATCCACAACGAGAAAATATTTTATCCGTGAGCACCCCAAGCGTACTGCACTCTCGTAACCACATGTGCAACTTGTACAGTCTCGGTTTGATCATTTTACCAAATTGTGCGATTTAAATATAGTGACTTGCGACAGATTGTAGTACCACTAGTTTAGTAGGTATTGTTATGCCTAGTGGGAAGATTTTATGAAATATTTTTTTTTCCTTTTCGCTTTAGAACAAAGCCTTTTAGTATAAATATTAATTTTATGTTATTACAATACAAAATTACTTATTTTAATACGCCTTTTTTTGCATTTTGACGAATAAGTGTTTTTCCGTAATTTTTAAAACATTTTTCGGTATTTTCATCACTTTAAATATAATTGTAATGGTACTTTCTTCAAGTTATATTTACGAGATGCAATAAAATGTTCTCCATAGAATTCTTGAGTAGCCTATTCGACTTCTTCGCTCAGAAATTGTAATGACAGCCGTTGTATGTAATCCAAGGTTCTTGCGACGCTTATCAGCGTCATTGTCGGTTTGGCCGATTTCGCGATAACTAAAGACAAAAGAACAGCCCAAACCAAAAGTTTGCAAGCTGCGTTCACTTGAACGAAAGGAAGAAACCTTGATTACATCAGTAACATATCCAACAACTTGAGCTATCCATCTGAACTGCTTTTGATTAAATTTATTACGTCATTTTTCTTTGCTTTTAGAAAAAGAATATTTTATTTATAATTTTTGGCGATGATTTACAGAGACTCACAAAAGTTTTGGAACGAAGTGATATTACAGAATAAAATCCACTTATGTTTATCAAAAAAAGGAAATATCAGATTTATTACATAACATCAAATTAAGTTTAACTCACAAAATGCCATAACACACTTTTTAATAAATAAAATATCTAATTTTAATATTGTAAAAACAAAAGGTAACATTTGTTTCGTCACAAACGTTTTAGAAAGATATGTCAAAACCAATCTTAATTTCCTTAAAATTAGTAGTGTACTTTAAAATTAATATTTTGTAGATCTTTCCTTTCTTTTAATAACTTCACTTAACCTTTTTTTTAAGCTCGTCGACAATTTGCTCCATTTTTCTTCCGGCCTGTTTGAGATGTGCCTTGGATCTTATGGGAGTTTCTGAACTTCCTTCTATAAATGATCCCATACATGCTCTATGGGGTTAATATCTGGTGATGGTGGAGGAGGATGGAGTACTTCGAGACAGTTGTAAAGCAGCCACAAACTGCACAATATGGGCTAAATGTTTAGGATGTTTGCCCGGTAACACAAAATTGTTTAAAATACCCAAAAGTTCTGCACTAACTTTCAAATTTTCTTGTAGAATATTTGAATAAGCAAATCTGTTTATATTTTCTTCAATGAAGACCAGTTGACCGATCCCATTTGCAGACATGTAGCCTCAAACCAAAACACTACCACCACAATGTTTCACAGTTGCCTGCAAATTATTTGCTTGCAGCGCTGTATTCGGTTAGCGCCACACCATTTCTCTACCATCAAAACCATAAATGGTAAATTTACTCTCGTCTCAAAAAGTTACTTTATTCCATTCCATTTCGTCATTGTCAAAATACTCTTTGGCGAATGCAAGTCTGTTCTCTCTGTTTGTTTTGCTAATGAAGGGCTTTCTCCTCCCCGCGCGGCCATGAAAAGTTGCTCTCCTTAGCACTCGTCGAATCGTTTCTGGGAGAACGTTTATCTTCAGGCGATCTTCAAACTGAACAGCAATTTTTGCAGCACTTATTCGGGGGAATTTCTTCATCTCTCTGTCAATACAGTTTTCATACTGTTCTGACAGGATTTAGGACGTCCAGATTGCCACCGTAAATCAATTCTATCCTCATTTCTGAACCTTTCAATGTTTTATATTCCACGCTGTAGTCTTCTTCATTTGTAGCAAAGATGCAATTTGCTGAACACGTATCCTTTAAACATAGTGATAAACTACCAACTGACGTTGGTTGAAAATCGTGTTCTCGCTTCGACGCCCCATTTCCCGTTTCGTTGCGACTGTTTCACTCGCTACAAACACACTAAGTACAGCGAGACTTTTGACGGTTCACGTAGGTCAACTTCCCCTTTCAAGGTTTTTCATATCTGTCGGGCAACCGCCCGTTCCCATATTTTTGTTGAACCAAAAATCGAATAATAAAAAAAAAATGTTGATTTCATTATAGTTTTATTCACAGCATGTTCAAATTGTAGGAACTCCATTTCTAAAATGTTAATAATTTGATTCACCGCTTTTCTTTCGTCAAACCGCAACACTGCAAATCTACTCGGTTTACTGCCTGTTCCAATATTTTTGTGAGCCTCTGTAGGTCACCAAATCCGCTCCTAGTTAGTCTAACGCACCCATTACACTGACGCACACATTGACCCATTACATAAACACACATACATACACACAAACACACTACATCGACAAGCGTGTGGCCATGCAGCGAAATCGTCTATACCAGAGCAGCACGCGAGTCGAGCGCCCGGGGCGCGGGGCTCACCTGCGGCCCGGATCCGCCGAGACGCCGCGCGCAGCCGCTGCGCCGCGCGCAGGCGCAGCTCCTCCTCGCGCTGGCAGAGGGCGCTCGCAGTAGCCTCTCCGTTCCCTGCGCGCGCTGCGCCGCGCCCGCCTTCAGCCTGTGGCTCCGCACACTTGCATACCATGTTTTAATGCACGAGGACACATATTTGTGAATATTTTTATGTCAATGTGAACCATTCGTAATCTTCGTATCACAGATCGCATACAAATCAATAAAACCTTTTCCAATTTCATTTACGAAATCTTCCCTTTTCAAGTCCCTTTTCAAAATTGGCTTTTCAGGTTTTTGTTGGAATCATCAGTTGGTCCATAAACAGCAATTATCACCACAGCACATACTATCACATTAGGGTTTTCTTACTAATATCAATATAAACAGACGAAAAATAAAATATTTTACCTTACTTGTTGCAAGGTAAAATGACTTATCGATCGCACTTATTAGTGTAGAGAAGAAAAGAATTGGAATTATTTCAACAATACGATCTCGAATTCGGTCGTAAAATTCATATTTAAGTTCTTTCGGGATGTAACTGCACACATGTCAGGATTAAGATCTATTGGCGATATTTCAAAGGTGGTTAAGATTGGTGTAGGAAGACACCCGTAATTTTGCACCTGAAAATTGGAATTTTTATATTCGATGAATGGGACGAGTGGGATGGGTCAGGTCGATGGCATAGGTGGATAAAAATGAATGAGATGGATTGGTCGGGGGCAGGGGATGGATGGTGTCGATGGAAGTGAATGGGATGGATGGATGGGGTTGATGAA